CTGCTGAACACCCTCAAGCTCCCAGCAACAATCCCAAATCCGCTGTCACATCCCAGCCCCACTGGACCTGATGCCTGTCACCGCAGAAGAACAGAGACCAGCAGATGGATGGGTGTGAGGGGAAGCACAAGGTCTGTGGTGTGGGTGCTAGTGCTGATAGAAGTAGAGATGCTGCCTGGGGAAACAGGGAGGTAGATGGAGCGTGGGGAGATGGACACAGCATGTCCAGAGAGACGTGCCTCGAGCTAAGACAGTCGTACGCAGGACAGACAGATGCAGAGAGGGAGATGGAAGGGGAGGAAGTGTTTGCCCAGCTCCAGGGAGTGGCCTGAAATATCCTGGGATGCACAGTGCCCAAGCAGAGGACCCGCAAAGTGAGCGGCAGGCAGCGGGATGCCCAGCAGCATCCTGCATCCAGCAGCAGAGTCCATCAGGAGCTCAGCACCTCCCCGCTCCTTGCTCAGGACAGCTCGGTCCCTGCTGAGAGGTCTCTCCAGACAGGGTTCCCTCTTCCCTGGGACAGTCAAGAACTGAGTTCCTGGGAGAAGTAAGGAGCTTGGAGCCCTTTGAATCCTGATTACATAAATGAGACTTGGAGGGGGATGCTGGAGGAAGGACTGCAGCTGCCTTATGGAGCAGCCAGGTCTTGGGGAGAAGGATTCCGCCCCCTCCACTCCCCCAAACCCTGCGAGCATGGTGCAGGTGTGTGGATGGAAGCAGCTTTCGGGGGTTAGTGACTGACTTCCCCAGCTCAGTGCTCACCCAGCTCTGGAGGAAGGGCTCAGCCCCAGGGTCCTTGCTGAATTACAGCTTGCTCAGGGGAGAAGAGGAGCTGCCAGGGTCAGGCTGCTGCTTTCTCCAGCTTCCGAAGGGTGTTTATTCCCACCCCACCACCTCCATGGAAGATACGTGTGTCTGCCCCAGTGCAGATCCACAGTGACTCCAACAGGGAGAGTCGGGGTGGAGGGGAAGCAGAGAGAAGGAGAGCAGAAAGGTGTCCATCCCTCCACAGCCCCTACACAGGAGGGCAAATCCTCTGCCCAGCTCCTGCGCTCATTCACACCGTTGAAGCAAGCCCTGGCTGAAAGCAGACGAGAAGCAGGTCTGCAGCTACCGCCGTCCCCAAGCCCAGCAGCTCCTGCCCCAAGCGCTGCAGGGACCTTGTCCCCTGCCTATCCTGAGCCAGCCACAGCGCCTGCCTGCTTGTCTCAGGGTGTTCCGGCGGGGCTGTTATGGTCCTCCTCCCCACTGCACAGCAGGGAAACTGAGGCAGGGGCCCTTGCCTCGGACCCCGGAGAGCGGAGGGCAGGTCCTTCTACCTCTTGCTCCACCCAGGGCTCAGAGGGCCGGGAACCGGCAAGGAGCTGTCACTGTCACCCTCCCTAGGAGGACACAGCGCTCCCCTCAGCTCTCTTCCCCCTTGAAATCTGGATTTAAACTTGATTTCACGGTGACAAGCCCCCAGGTCACAGGCTGCAGCGGCTGCTGCTTTAATTAATACAAGTTCCAACGTTAACAAATTATAT